TCAAGCATAGGTCGTCACTGGTGGTGTCTTTCGTTTCTCTCTCTGTGTCCCAGTGCCCCTCTTCAATCCTCTACACAGTATTCCGCGCGCCGGGGGCTTTCTGGTAGTGTTGCAACGCAAGGTCCTCTTCCGCATGAAGATGGCGCCCCCGCCCGAGTTGGACAGAGCCCCATTCGGATCTTCAACTAGAGACCGAAGATCGTAATTTTGACCCAGGAAGATGCCATCACAGGCCAGCCGCTAGCAGCCCAATTACCCTGATCTTAAGTCGGGCACAGAAAGCCATCAACGTGGTCAGGTTCAGGGTCCATTGGAGGGCCAGAGGCGTATCTCAAGATAGAATTTCGGGGAATATGTCATGAGTGAGTGAACGCTTCATCATGGCCGGGTCTCGAGCGAGACTGGTGGATGATTTTCACGCAGCCGCGACCCCCGAGGGTATTAGACCCAGTGATGGAGAGTTATAGTGCCGCACAGGTCCCGATACTTTGTCAAGAGTACCTAGCCCTGCTTCGCAACATCATGCCTCCCGGCGCCCTGATCATCAAGAACTTGTGGCGACGACACACATCGTGTGGAGAGAGAGACTTGACTAGAGAGACTGCTGCGTTAAGCGTTGGGTTGCGTCGACGTAGGTCTTCGCGCGATGTCTCATTGACCACTTGTAGCCAACTTTTGATGTAGTAAAATCGGGACAAGAAATTGAATGCGGCCTTGTGCGCCGTGTGCCTGAGCGAGCCCTTTGCCTGCATCAAGCTGCAAAATGCAACCCACCACTCCGCCCAAGCCCGCCCTAATCCCCGGAAAGAAGACACCGGTGTACCCGGAGGCCCGGAGAGACAGCCGGTTTGCTGGAAAGCAATGAGTTTCTTGGTGGCGGACGAAGGCTGGAACCCACCCACCCCTCCACCGCATCTCTGCTTCAGGAACACGCCGTTCGTTTTCTCGGGTGCAAGTTGCAGCATAGGCTGAGTGAGTGTTGCCATATGCATGCTCGCCTTACTTTGCACAGATAGGTATTCAACCACCTGCATTTGCGACCATGCGGACGTCTTTGTCCACGCAGTAAGGCTGCCCATCAGTCACCACACATCGATGTAATGCAGGTCCGAGAAGTTGAAACCAACGCACTCCTTCGCCATTCATCACTCGGCATGATGCAGGTGAAGTTTCCCTCCAACTTTGCCTCTCCCCAGGCTAACATCTAGACAGCGTGTTTCAGGGCTGCCAAAGACCTCGAAAGTTGGGCACTGCAGGCTCGCAAGACTTGAGACTGGAGAAAACCAATAAGTTTCCGAGTCCGAGGTAGACGGGATGCCAAGTTTTTCTCGTGTCTGTTGCTTCTAGTCGTTTTGTTGGTGGGGTTGTAGCTTGTTTTCTGTGGTCCATAAGCTGGCATGCCTCAGCTCTCATCGTATTCGAATTCCAATATGCCAAAGTCTGGTGAAAACCCTAACTTTTGACAATATTCGCGCATGCTGTGTCGGAAACGGCTGTTTGCCCCCGATCACCCATCCGGCAAACATTGATATCTTGGAAGCGCCTCGGCTTCTTACTGGCTCCCGACATTGAAGATTTCCAAGTTTCTGGTGCAGCATATGACATTGACCGCTCACCTGAGGCTACAAACTGCAGCTGTCTCTCGCCACGTGAAAGTCGTCGTATTGCGAGCTAGCTCCCGTCAAGCCACCACCCGCATCTCGCTCTCTCATTCAGGTGGACAAAGCATTCAGCATACGTTGCCGGCCGCCGTCTCACACCCGCGCATCGACTCGTGCCATGGTTTTTCTTACCCTGGCGGTATGATGTTCTCGGTCTACTGACCGTGGAGCTGTCACTAGTTTAGTTAGGTATCCCGATGTGCCAGCCGTTGGCCGAGGTCACTTCCACGTTTTCGTTGTGTTGATAGATGCATCGGCTTCCTGTCCGTTTCCAGCTTTGAGATGGCTGTGCAGTGTGCGGTACAGTACTTCGTGCGGACACTGAGAGACCGCACCGATGACAAAAGCTGAGGTTGGATTCCGGGACGCTCAATCTCCCATTCCCCACGCTAATCACTTCTAGAAGGTTGAGTAACGTCGGTAGTTAGAGACAAGGAAATGAGTTTATCTCCCGTTCGTGGACCCCACGGAAGGTGGACGCCTTTCTGGTGCAGATATTGGAGCCTATCGCGCTTGGCTGTGAACCACTGACGAACCATCGGCGGGACAAGCGGGAGGCCTGTTAGGACCCTGGCCTGGCCGTCTTCCACGTTGCTATCTTGGAAATCGTGAATGGGTCGTGCCGATGGCGAGCTCCGGGCTTGTCAATTTCGTGGGCACCAAAATACTATTCATTCGAGCAACGTGACACCAGGGACTCCACCGCACCGAGCTGCAATCAATTAACAATGTCGTGTACTATTTGACCGGGCAAAGGCGGGTGGCTTCTGGAGAATCCTCTGCCGAGGTCGAAATGCTGTTTTGAAGACGGTTCGATCGACATAGTCATCAATGGGGATGGGCCGATTAGTGACAGACGTTTATGTATACTGGGATACCTCGTGGCTCTTGGTGATGAATGTTCGAAACGCCTCACAAGTTCCAACGACTGGCTGGCATCGAGAAACCACGGCTAGACTACCGTATTCTGTCGGTGACCAATATAGATCGGCCGGATGATATGGCCGCTTGTCATCACCTCGGGCAGTCTGATACGTGGTGACGAAGCTATGCCTTCTAGAACAATGGAAGGATGCAACATGAGAAACGGCTCCATCGTGACCTGGGGCCTCTGCTTCATGCTGGTACCCCTTCCATCTGTCTTCCGTTTCCATTGTTTCCAATGGCACAAGGCGCTGCGTCATGATAACCATGGTGCCCTAAACAGGCAAGTCCCTCATACCCAAGGCTATGCGGGATGCTTCGTGATGGGGACTCAGGCGTCGGAGTATGTGGGCCCTGAAACCTTCTCGAAGGTCTTGGAGCCTGGAGGCCTATGGGCTAACGACCGCGGGAATGCCCATTGGCCACTCCGGAGGAACCCCTTGTATTGACCGGTGCGACGGGGTACCCCTGACGAGACGAGTTGGAGTGCCCCGTCGGGAAGCCTCAGGATGACAGCTCCCATTATTAACCGATTTCTCAGAACTACTGCAAAGTATGTGGGCTTCGTTCAGCCGGGAGAGGACAATGAGTCCGGTCTGTAACGCCACGTATCCACGCGTGCCACGGCAGAAGAGAAGAGAGTGTCCGTAATAAGGGAAAACTTGTCGGCTATCCAGTGCTCCGGCTGCTCTAGCCAAGTCAGTTTGTTCTTGATTCAGCCCAATGAATAATTCATCCACTCGACCTTCCCTGTCGAAATGGCAAATATTAAGTGAGTTCAGTGTAATTGTTAGACCGTACGAACAATAGTGAGGCACCCCACGGGCTTGACTTGGCCGAGAACGTTCCTGATTGTCAATGGTTGCTTATTGCCGTTAGCTGGCAGACTGATAAGTAAGAAGTGCCTTGCCTGACAATGACGCTAGGGATTCACTTGATCCCGGAGGATCTTCCACGCCAAGTGAAGCCCCTGCCCAGTCCGTGACCGGACTGCTAGCCTCAGCAGTTATCTCTAGACAATACTGGTTGGCGATAGCGATAGCGGTGAATATGCTCATCGACTTCTTGGGGTAGTCGGGTCAGGACAGTCAGGCTAAACGGCGGCCCCAGGCTCCAAAGCATCTCGGGCCCGTTGGGGGTCCCTTTGGCGATCTTCCAGACTCATGCCCGGTTGCGGCGAGGACCCTTGTGGCCGAGCAAGAGACAGATGGACAGATGGTGTGGCCCGCCGCTTGGCTTAAATTTGAAGCAGGCCTTTGCTAGATTTGCCAGAAATCCGGGGCAACTAGACCGGAACAAGGCCCGTTTTTGGGCCTGGTCGCCGTTGGGGGTCTCGGTGCCACTGGCTGGGCCGGGACCCCACGGCTTCCTACCCGGGCCGCCCAAAGTACCATATCCACCAGCCAGGCACCCAAGTCGTTGGAGGTGAATTGGAGTGTTGGAGAAGGGAACTTCCCAGAGAGAAAAGAAGGGCCCGCGGGTACAATTGGGAACTTCATGAGCATCAAACGACGGATCGCCGGGGTCTCCTCGATCAACCAGCGAATAGATCTGCTGAACTTCCGTCCTTGGACATCGAAATTGCGCCATCCGTGGCTTTTAATGGCTCTCGGTGGGGAGTTTTAGGGAAGCGGCGGTCGGAGAGTTCCAGCGGATGACAATGGTCGGCTGCTGATCTACCATGGACCGTTAGCTGATATTCTAGTGTGGATTGTTGTTCAGTGGACATCTAAAGTGTGAACATGTCTGGCTCACATCACACAACGCAAAAGACCAGGCGTTGACCAACACGACCACCGTGTTGGGACATCTTCGTAAAACGGGGTCAATGGAGGAAAATTTTGCAGTCGGAAGTATATTCCTACATGGTGAATCCACACGTTAGGTCGGGTTGTTGGAAGACCCGGGCTGTTTTGGGCTTAATGTGTTCCGGTGTATTGGATCGTGTCAGTGTTTGCTCATGTCTGATCCAGCAGCCAGGAACGGCCCAACCACCCTGACGGTGGCGAAAGGATTCTGAGCCAGGCACTTGGCTCCTCCCCGTGGCCTCCGCTGAGATAGCACCTGGTCTGCCATCCATGAGCCCCGGCCATTTGACAAGCCTAGGCTACTTTGCTGGCCTAATCCAGAAAAGGTCGGCAGGCATATGGTTGAGCCCTGGTGCCATCAACTTCAGTAGGACTCGAGTCCAGAAAGGTTATTAGCAGGCAATCGTTCTCCATGCCATCCCATGTCGGTCGCAGAAGCCGGGCTCCTATTCGACTGTTAAACCCACAATTCGAAAAGCCACTTTTCTTCGTAGGGCTTTAGAACGGTCCCAAGCGTTATGCTGCCGGTTCCCCGTAGTCTGGGATGCTGCAGCCAGACCCCACTACCACCCATGGTTCGACCGAGAACACCTTGTTCTCGAAGTTATTACGAGGGATTTCGGGCCTTCGATGCTGGTCTTCGAGACCTTCTTCTCAGCAAGCCAGCAAACCCCAAGGAATTAGGCAGTGGGTGGGATGACCGTCGGAAACTACTCGAGAGCGTCTTGACGTTGTTCGCATTCTCGACGATAATCATACTGGCATTTTCGGGCTGCTGAGTCGCTGATGCCAAGAGCATACCCATTCGCTATTTTGAAATCATTGTAGAGGGATTTGACAAGATCCAACCTGGAGAGCCTGAGTAATGGGATTAGTTGCTTTGGTGAGGGGGAGAGGAAGCTTGGAAAGTTGTGGGATGCCGCGATGCCCAGCATACTGTACCTGCATGCAAGGGTGCAACGGTTCGTCTGTTCCTGCATATGTATGGAAAGAGAAATGTACTTCGTACCTTGGCACCTTCGGGGCACTGAGTGGCCTGTAGCATCTCGAAGCTTGCAATATGCAAGGTACGGATACGCTGAGCTGTGAGGACGGAGTACACTACGTGGTACCGTTTCTTCCGAAGTACCGTCCGGCGAATCATGGGTGCGCGCAGCAAGACCGGGGCTGATAAACACCATTTGTATGGAAGCCCTGACGTGGTTGCGTGGTCGCATGAACGGAGGCAAATTGGTGATTGGATAATCGCCAGGGTTTTGACCGGACATGGAACCCTGGCACAAGCTCACCGGAACTTTCCCAGCTGTGAGAACCACGCGTGCGACGGTCAAATACCTATTGCAGATGATCTGCGTGTGCGAGACCGATCATGATAAGATGCCCAAATAGGGACACAGCGCCGGTGGTGCATACAAGTTATGCAACATAATGTCTAGCATAGCCCGCTTCGACACCGATGTGCACCGGAAGATATGCTGATAATGTATGCTGTCTCCGCTGCGAGAGAGACCTGGACTCTATGCATGGCTGCATGGGTAGAGACCTGGACCACACAGAGCGATAATGACAAGATGATAAGGCCAGAAACGAGTCGAGTCGGTTGCCAATGGTGCAAGCCGCGGGATCGAGCCGGTTTGTGCCCGCTTTGTGCTGCGGCGCAGCTGTTTGACCCATTGTGCGTGCATCGTCCATCCATCGCTCTGTGGCAGCTGGATGGATCATGGAGCAAACAACAGAACCACAGAACTAATGCACCATTGGTGCCGGAGGTGCTCTGGTGCAATTTTATGCACAGAGCTAACGTCTCAGCTAGAAGACTAGTGGGAAGAAGGCCGTACCATAGTCGAGACTTGTAGTTGCCTGAAGCTGAAAAGGTATTGACGATGACGATGGAAAGGTCTCTCTTCCTGCAAAGTCTTTCGTGTTCACGGCTGAGTAGGTTGTCTGGAGATGGAACCCGCCTTTGCGGGTCTAGCCGACAGCATTGTGGAAACCAGACTCTCGTTACGCGACTTGAGCTGCCGACTGAAGTCATCGCCGTCGCCCTTCCTATGGCCAATGGGATATTGTCCATGTCCAACATGGCTAGCGGAGGAGTCGATAGAGCTGCCACATTTCATCTTGGGACAGCTCTGGCGTCAGCGAAATCAATCTGCTTCCAACCCAGCCGCCCAATGCGGAAAGGTAGAAAGCAACGGAGAGGATAAGTCGAGCCGTTAAAACGTGCGGGATTGGCGGCGAACAAAGAGATGCGGATACCTTTGAGACAGACGGTTGGATGGAGACATGTGAAAGTAAACAGTCTGAGTTGGTTGGACCGTTGCAAACGACGCTCTGCTCTGTGCCACATTATAGCTAGGACCTGAAGCGGCGCAGCTCTCCGAGTGACTGGTCATTTCTCAAGAGCCTGAAGGCTTGTTTAAAGAGGCTGTTGTTGGAAGCAGCACAGAGAGCAGAATCTGTTTGCTTGCTGTTGGAGGCTTTAGACCAATGGCTAACGGCAAATCGACATTCGATACACTCTGGTGGATCGGGAAGCTAGATGAGTTTGCGGTTGGTGCTAGTTGCTGTTGGTCCGCAAAGTCGAAAACCAACCAGCATGCCATCACTGCACAAGCTAGCTTTCGCATAGGCTGAATTGTACCGATGCAAACTGCGTTCCCGTCGGTTGCCTCTGACATCCCAGATTGCGAGGCCCGGGCGGATGGATCTGTGATCTGGACGAGACGAGACGGCCGTGGAGTTGACACATGCACCTTGTCCCCAGAGGTGTAGGATAGAGTGTGGCATATCCGCAGTATCGCAGCGTTCAGGGATCGAATCCTGACAGGAGTGCTTGGAGGCTGGAACTAGTGCGCCGCAGACTTCCACGAGCCTGGCCAAGCCCGAGTCCCTCTCAAAGCGCTGTCCCTGCGAGCATCAAGTTCAAGGTGATTTAGTGTATACTGCCGATACGTAAGATCTGACAGGCTGAACCTGGCGTACCGGCACCAAGGTAACGTTCATACGAAGTATCGTGGCGTTGTCTCTCCCTGGCTTGCAAGTGAGGTGGACGTCAAGGATGATATCTATCGATAAGGCAAGAATTGGTGCAACATGAGTCCGAACAGCAGTGACAGGTCGCGGGGGAATTCTTGGTCATCGGTTTAGGGTGCCAGGGTATATACCGTCCGACCATCTATCCGTACCCGAGTATCGTGAGGGTGTGGTGAGGATGAAGCGGGGTGGTGCAAGGGGAGGACGAGGGCGAATGAGGGGTAAAGGCGCTGGTCGTGCCTCGCGTGCGCAGACAGGCTGCATCTCGCGGTGTTCCTTGCATCTGCGTTTCCTGTAAGGTACAGCAATTATTTTTCTTTTCTGTGGAAAAAACTTTTCTGGTCAACATTTCGGTGGTGGTGGAGGTGGTCAGAGTTGGGGCACGCCGCACACGTACCACAAAGCTGTGTGGGCATTCAAGCAGGCAAGGTACGCAGTAAAGAAACATAGTAGAATGCCTTATTCAGAAACGAGTGCGTACGTAAGGCGGGCTCCATGCGTCTAATGCGAGACGAGTTCGTTCGATGTCATGGTGGATGGTGGCATTGGTGGACGAAGGACGGCGTATAGTGGGACTGGGTAAAGTAAGTTGTTACTGAGCAGTGAGGTTGGGTGGTTGGCCATCAGAATCTAGACGTTGCTGCGTTTCTTGTCGAGGGCCTATCGCAGGCACCAAGCTGCAAGATGACCGCTGAGGTAAGGACTTGCCTGCCTGATGGTATCATCACCCGCATCGACTGTGGATACGGGAGTCTCGGCCCATGAAAACGAAGGGAAAATCCTGACTGGTGTTGACGCAGCTTTCAGAATGAGAATCGATTGTGTGAGTTATGACACAGTTGTCACTTACCTCAGGTCTTGGAAGTAGGTAGCTGCTGCATGAGGTGGGAGAATGGGGACTCGGGAGCGCCTTCTCACAGCCGAATATTTGCTTTTTCCCGCATCATGGATCCAGTGCAGACGGGACTGACCAACGGGGCACCGGGACTCCCGTTTCCCAATTCCCAACGGCAGCAACTTTCCTTGCTCCCCCTGCCGCCTTGCCAACGAAGACTCGATGGAAACTTGGGAAGAGATGGAAGGGAAGTGGGCAGGAAGGAACTTGGCACTTGGCTTTCGAGAGTCTTCGGGTTCCATGGCATGCAAGTTGGCTCCATCTCAACTGTGCCTTCTCCAGGTTGGCCGCAGCTGGCAACTGCATCTGCATCTGCATCTGCACCTAAGGTACGAAGTAATCCTGCTCCTGCTCCTCTTCCTGCATCTGCAGGTACATCCTTGGTCTGGTGCCTTCCTGTTCCAACCATGCGGGGTGTGAGGCCTTCCAGGTTAGGTTGCCTGTGACATTCAGGTTGGTGTTTGAATGGACGGTGGTGACATCGAGTCCTCCTTCCTTCCCTTCCCTTCCCATCCCATCCTATTAGATCAAGTAGTCACGTGGCGTATTGCCTGAGTCTGAGCACTCGTACCTGCCTCGAATTGACAACTCGGTACCTCGGGTGTAGTACCTCACCCGCCTTACCTCTGTCGAAAGATAGGTGGAAAGAGAGAGCATCACCGTTTTTTCAACTTCATCCGAACAGACCAACCCGCCCGCCCTGTGCCTTAGCCCGTAGCCATTACTTTCATGGATTTAAACATTGCCCTACCGAACCCATCTCAGCTCCGGATCCATGGGTGCTGCGTACTTACGTGCCCGTGGTTCCGTGGTGCCTCAATAGTCCATGCCTTACACACCTTACTTGACGGCATGCACGCCGAGCACTGCCTCAACTAGACTGCCTGCTGCATGGACCTCCTCGCCGCGACGTGGTGGCGACAATCTTGTCGCTCTTCTCAATCATACTTTCCATCCTGCCAGGGTCGGATTCCCAACTCGGACCTGAAAGATCGGATGTCACTTTGTCGCCCACCGTCCGTGCAAAACTCGACAGCATCATGAATCAACTGGCTTCGTTGGTTGCTTCACCATCAATATCGGCTCCCTGCCCTGTCCCGTCATGATCATCAGCCGCGGGCCGCGGGCCACTCGAGAGGCTTGCTTAGTCCCAGCCATCGCAACCTCGAACGGCCTGTCTTAACTGTCCACTCTTCAACATTCAAGCATATCGAGGCAACCGAGAGTAGTACAGTCTGAAGAGGCTCCCGCCAATCCGTCAACAATGCCAGGGGTGTCAGGGTTGATGCTTGGCCGTCACCAAGCTGCTGGACCAACCGGGACGGCCAGTCCAGAATTGGTATGCTAGATCTGTCGAGACAACTCAACTCGGCTTTGGCGGGGTCGTGGTCGGGTGACGCAGTCAGCAATCCAACGCCCCCCGCGCCGGCTCGACTCAGCAGACAGACGCGTGAAAGAATGGAGAACAAGTCGAAACCAGAAACAACGCCCGTCAACATATCCGCCAGACTAAGACTCACGAGTGATATGGATCCGTGAGAGTCCAGGCGCGCGAGAAACTCTTGCTAGTGGCGGCTGCGTCATCGCTAGCCAACGCGATGTCGCAAAGCCACTACCAAATCCTCAAAGCGCGACGCGGGGTCATTGACTGGTGATAGCAAACGTGTGACGGACGCCCAAATCGACCACTGATATGCCAAGCGGCACTCGACGGACGTCTAGTGGTGGATGGCACCTCACGGCAGAGCTCATCGTTAGACTCGTTGCTCTAGAATTTTTGCAGGGGGTCGCCAAAGATGCGCCTGCTCAGCGTTCTGAATGGCCCGGCCTTGTCTCCATCACACATCCTTTGTGCGTTTCGTGTTCCTGCACAACTACGGTACCCACCAGATGAGAGGCTTGCATAGCTGGCCCCGAGAGGGCTCACTGGCGCGTTGGCCAGCTGAATACGACGCCCGTATGCATCGACATTATTCGAGCACACTCACATGTTCGCCGCTTCCAAGAAATCGAGTTGTGCTACGAACCGGGGGGGGGCACTCGTTGTTGGCCCCCCTCGCATGCCGTTGGCTTTGGTTCCCACTCGAGGAATCCAAGGGCTTATCCGTACAGAACTTCAGAAGAAGACGGTGGCCTCCGAAAGAGGAGACGCGGCGCACAACGGGGATTAGTGGGTGTGCGGCCTCCGCCAGGGCCATTTTCACAATCAATCCAATACTCGGACGAATTAACATTTTGATAGCTGTGGGCTTTTATTCTTAGAAAGCCGGGACCACGAATATACTCCAATAACGCAGCAATTATGTGCCTGACGACATCGGATGGACGAGCCACACACGGCTTTCCCAGAGCTGCGGTTGCAATACTACCGCTCAAGCCCACTGTCTCCTCAGTTCAATGACAATTGACAGGCTCTGTTCGTTTCTGCGGCTCTGGCATGAATGATAGACGGCGATCCGCTGGCTATCCTAGCTGTCTATGTCAATGCTGCTCGGGCAGCCCAGCAATTGCCGCAATGCTCCGCGTTTCGAGCATCTCGGAGCAGTCATAGTCGCCTGTCTGGGGATTTTAGGCAAGCATAGCTCTGCTCAGCCGCTCTGAAGCATGAAAATGGATTACGAATGCTCCCACGAACCGCGAAACTTGCTGGGTCATTAGCAGAGCCACCGTGATCAAGGAGACGAACGGCAGTTGGCGTTTTGCCCGCAAAAGAAACAAGCTGGTATTTTCCCCTGGTTGCCGCTCACGCTGGTTTCCCTCACCATCACCATTGCCGCTGTTGTAACTACAGCTACCAGACGCAACTTCTCGAGTGATCAACAGTAAGCGGCGCATCGCCGTCCAGTGTTCACTGGACTGGTACCTTGCATGCGCGCGTCGACCATGCTTCGCTGCGGGTGTGCTAGCACAATGAGCGATACGACTGGCGTGCAGCATGAGTGTGTCTGCATGTGTGACTGTGGACAGAGGGTTCATCCAGCGAATGATGGTGCCCAAGAGTGTGGTCGGACGCGCGCCAGACTGGGCTGAGATGACCAGTACCAATCGAGGAAGCCATCTGTGCTAGTTGTGTGGACGGCGATGTGTCTATCGACAGGCGCTATCCATTTGTGCCTCGAATTGCCGTCCTATGAATGAGTACATGGTCCTCGGGTTTATGCAGCTCCGCTGGGTTACCTCGACGTACGGATACTCTTTGCCCAGTGCCCACTGGCGAACGAGGTACTTCGAACCTGTCTCATCTTGTATACTCTGTTGGTGGCAGGCCGATTAAAACTACCTTAAGCGTTCTCTTTCCTGGTGGTGTTGCTTGGTGCCTGTCTACGTTCAATGACTGAGAAGCCGCTGTGGCTTGGTTGGCTGTACTTCGGCCTGCTCGGTACTCCGTACTGCAACCAGGTTCTTGCCTTTCAGTATTCAAGGCATAACGGACTATGGACTGGGCATTTAATCACGAACAAACGGCTGATGGCACTCTTAAGGACGGCGGCATACAATAGTCATGTATAGTGCTTGCTCTGTGCTCAGGTCCAGATGCTCCCCCGACGCCCGTTCAGGGCCGCCGTCAACGCCATCTGCCAGCGTTGGCTTGGTTGCTGTAGCCGTCTGAGAGCAACGTGACGGCTGGTTGGGGCTTTTTCTCTCTACTCCGGCTTGCAAGTGAGAATTGCTCGAGGAAGACATCAGCCACAATTCCGGCCTTGGGCTGAACGAGTTGGGGTTGATATTGCCTGCAGAACGTATGGCTATTTTTCATCTGAAAGACTGGGTTTACAAGAGCCTTGACGGCATCGAGGCCGGCGTGTTCCTGCAAGATGTCGTATGTGGGCGTCTGTTGGCACCCAGCAAACTACCTACAGTACGGATACGCAGCCGGCCAGCCAGCCAGAGGGTCCTCGTCGTCAGGTACTTCAAACAGGCCGGCAGCAAAATAGAGCAAAAGACTACCCGAACACAAACAAGAACGGGGAAGCTGTCAAGTTCCCTTCAGAGTGCGGTCGGTACATCCGGGTGATGCTTGATGGCCCGTCTCGTCTCGTCTCGTCTCGTCCGTTTTGTCCGTTTCGTCGCTTTCTGGGCAGAGACGGAGTGAAGAACACAGACCACAGAACGGAGAAGGGGAGCTCGTGGTTTGTCTGAACGGTGTGTCCATACGAACATCCATCTTGTACCGTACCTGCATTTTGCTCATCCAGAATTAGAATTGACCTGCTGGCTGCGCCATCCTCTCGTCCCAGCCCACCCACACACAGCATGCCACCCACAAAACGACACAACTCATCATCCGGTGCGGTAGGGCCAAAGCACCGTGGCACCCAGGAGCCCACCAGCACAACTGCACCACCCACCTGATGTCCGCTTGGCCCCAGAGCCAGACATGCAGAGGGCATATGTACAGACAGACAGGACCCACCCATGACACCGTCTCGTTCGCCTGGTGTTCCTGTTCCTGGTCCGTCGCCGCCGTCGCTCATCCATCCACACATATTCCCAAATCCACCCACTATCCAACGAGTGTGGCGGTCCACTCACACTTCTGACCTCCTCCCCCCCCTTCCGAGTCCAGGCGCTAGGAACGGAAGCCCATCCCAGCGACCGAGAGCTACGTACCGACAGAGGAGGGATTCCGGTACGTATCTCCACACACCCTAGCCGGGTCGTCTACGTACTCGGATCCACAAGATACGTACTCGTTTACCCCTGGCCCTGGTCGACTTGTGTGGGTGAGACATGCCTGCGTGGAGAGGGAAGACGAGTGAGAGAGAGAGGAGACGAGGGGACGGGGGTTCGAGGACGAGGGTCTGTCGACTCGAAGGCGCGCTAGGGTCTGGGATGGTCTGGTCGGGTCTGCCACTTGGCTTGGTACTCAGTGTCCTGTACCATCGGCCTATCGACGACTTTTATCTTGCGCCAGTCGGTTGATCTTGGTCTCTTTCTACTTATCCCCCTTCACCACCCACGTTCATTTCACTCTCGCTATTTCATGATCGACACTCCGTTCGGCTACAGTGCGCTGTGATCTTTTCTTCTTATGACCTCTCGGTTCTTCCTTCTTTTGAGACTCGACATTTGGGAAACACTTCGACCTGCTCGAACCATCCCGTCCTTCCTTTAAACACAACTACAACTCAGTATCCATCAACCGTCTTCGAGCACATAATACACCAAGCCAGTTCAACTCTATCATACCTTTTCGATCTTCCAACGACATCTTCCGAGAACAGAAGACAGACAGAGAAAC